TGCATATTTACTTTATGCTGTTCTGCAAGATGCAAATATGTAACGCAATAGTTTTTCTAGAGTTGTTCCATATATGCACGATTGCCTTCAGCTCCAATAAATTATTTGACACTATAAAGCAACATTATAAACTATAAAGATTAAGTTAGCTCATGGTTTGTTTTATCGACAGGTGTGTCGGTTTACGCTACACCCCAATTTTAAATTAAAAATCGTATTATGAAAAGACTAAGAGAAAAAATAATATAAATAAAACTTATTTCGGAAACTACAAGTATTTAAAATGACGTAATATTATTAATAATATAGTCACTATTTAAACCTCACAATTTGTAAAAGAAAATCATAAGAATTTTATTTTCACATTTGTAGAATTCGTTTTTAGCTGATGTAGAAACAAGCCACAAACCTATGAATTATGAATTTGTACTTCTTTAATTAGCTAAACAGATCATGATTTTATTAGTCTTAATAAAGTGCAATAGTTAGTTTCCGAAAAATAAGGGGGTGTCATTTTAGGAGACCTATGTCAGTATCGGCGACTTTCCTCTATAAATTATAGTCACAAATATAAAAAATGTTTCTGTCGTTGTCAATGTAAAGAAGCGTCAAATACAATCGAGATGCCTAATAATATTTATATATAAAGTTTTAAATATATCTTTTAATAGTTATATAAATTGCGCATTGATTACTGTCGGATTTAGAAAGCAATCGCAAATTGAAGCTGGAATAATATCATAAATTAAATTGATCGTTAATTTAATAACGATGTTAAAAGGAAATCTTGAAACATTACACAATTGAAAGATGTATTTAAAAATTTACATAGAGATATTATTAGGCACCCTGTATTTAGTTTTAATCGTATTTGACGCTTCTTTATTTATTTGATTTATTCATGCATATATACATATACATGAATAAATCAATTAAATAAAGAAGAAATATATATGTGTATGTACAGTGATACGCATTAACTATACTATTAAATACTGAAGTAGCAATGGTAATTGAATCTCGTGAGTTAAATAACGTTTTATTATTTTTAACTTTCATATGCGTTAAATGTAAATTAATTCATTTTTATGGTTGAATTACTTAGTTTTAAAATGAACAATATATTAATGTATGTGCACTTAGTATACACTAAATTAAATTAGAGCCAAATTTAATACATTTCTGAGTTAAGTTATTTAGCTCCATTGTTTTAATTAAATCAACGACACATTGAGTATAGAAGCAGTGGTGACCCATAAAAATAAACGATATTAAGAATCTTTATTTTAGACCGCATATGTGAGAAACACAATTAATACTAGAAAAAATGCCTATTACGGTCAAAGCTGGATCTTCATTGCTTTAAATAATTCAATCTTGAATTACTAATATACACTATACATGTATATGCCATATTGTAGTTTTTTTAGAACTGCGTACCGAATTGTTTTTCCGTACTATAAATGCAATTAAAACTACTCTAATAATCGCGAATTAAGGAGGTTGTAAGGCTGAGGTGGACAGTGAGAGGAGAATGCTTTAATATAAAAGAAATATGGAGTGTAGCCAACATTTAAACATTAAAATTTGAAGAAATAAATAGCTAAAATTTAAAGAAATATGGATTATAATGCAATTAAAATGCAAAAAATATTAGTGTTTATTTGTATAAAAGTTTCAAAGATAAACATACATTTTTTAGAACAATAAATATTTTTAGCTCAAGAAATGATTTAGCAACGGTGTAAAACTCAAAAATCGAAGTTGGTAACACTGCAAACTGCAATGTCTGACTGCAATGTCTGACGGGTAGATAAGGTTAACGTGACGCTATAAATGTTTTGAAGCGTTTTTTGACAAATCATTTAGTACATTTTTTTTTCTGTGATTAGTAAATCAAATGCTTCGAAGCATTTGTAGTGAGACTTTGATGGCACTACTCAACTGATAGAATATTTTTGATTCGCGGTGATGAAACAACGCGTTGCCACATTTTCTCCATCAAACAGTTTTAATGGCAGAAGTATCACATCTTCGGTTATATTTTTTACTATTGTTAATAAACTGAGTGGTAAAAGTTGTTTTAATCTTCAAATATATTTTTAATATGCTATACTTTATATATTAAACATAAATTTATTCGATTCTTAACATTTCAAATATTAATATTTATTGAAAACAGATACATAGAATCGAGTCTCCTATAAGAGAAAGAAAGATAGTCTATTATAAGATTCAGAATTTTGTTATTAATTTACAGAAAAATGCGCTGGTCAAAAAATCTGAAAAATTTACATAAAAGCATGCTTTGTAGATAAAGCTATGTTCCAAATTTCAAGCAATTTTTAACATATTGCATTCTCCTTACAACCTCCTTAAATTGACAAGCAATTTAATAATTTGATGCTATCATCAAGTATTATATTATAAAGATGTTAATATGTTGAAACTATTAATAAATTTAACTTAACCCATAATGATGTTTAGAAGTAGTTCAAATTGGGTATAATTTGACATTATAATTTTAATAATGTAATGTAATTTCAAACAATTAAATTAAAAAATACAATTGAGCTCTCGAGATTAAAACAATAACATATAAAATAAAAAACAGGCGATTGAGAGCAGAAATTAAGACGCAGTTATTATAAAGCGTTATACGTTAACAATGTATTTCATAAATCTTACAACTAGTACGATAATCCTGAAAATCATAAAATAAAAATGTAACCAATTTAATTGGGAAAATGTAAACATCTTGGATAGGGAAAGATATCTTGGAAAAAGGCTCGTGTCTGAAATGCTCCACATTAAGTCGCAAGAGAATAGTTTGAATTTAAAATCTGACATTGAGTTTCTATACTATGCTTATGTGAATATTGTAAACAAGATTTGATGTATGACGAGAATTTATTTTACATTAGTTGACTTTCTTGGTTATATTTTTATTTTATGATTTTCTGACTTCTATAATGCCAATCTGTTTTTGTTATAGTACAATGCTCAACCTTATATATTTTATTCCGTTATTGTCATTTGAACATTGATATTTGCACGATTCGGTTTCTCTTAACGATGTATCTTTATTCATGCGTTTCGAAACTTTGTGATATTTTGATTATGGATTGCAGCTTTTGATTATTCTATACTTGTCTTTATTATTGTCGTATTATAAAATTTTACTCTTCTGTAGTACTCAGTTAGTCATTCAACTAATTGACAGTGATGCTTCTCAAGTTTGAAATTGGAGAGGTTCCCTTAGCTGTGCATTCTTGAATCTTATCTGGAATTTATTATAATGTTATTTGAACACCGCTGAGGATGGTTCGAATTGAGCAGAAACGTCCGATTTCATCGTACTAGTTGTAAGCTTTATGAAATATATCGTTAACGTATAACGCTTTAATAACTGCGTCTTAATTTCTGCTCTCAATCGCCTGTTTTTGATTTTATATGTTATTGTTGTAATTTATTTCATTAAAAATTTAAAGAATTTTATGTTCAAAAATAAATATGAATCTGACAGATTTGAAATAAGACATACTAAAAGAGGTTATGAACGATTCCGTATTTTGCAGAGATTAATTTACGAATAAATTTATATCGGGACGCGCAACGTTTTTTAACATCACGGTCATGTACGTTCAAATTATCGACTGCCTGGCTCATCGATAATTAAGGTCGTGAAACGAATATCGACTCGTCCGTCGTACTTTAAACCAAAATGACATCGAGTGGGTCCATTTAACGGGAATAAACTGTTTCTTTCGCGAGTGGTTCGCTATGCCGGGATCGTTAGTCAGATAGAACGAGTCGCGTCTGGTTTGCTTGGAGTAGACACTTGAGACCAGCCTAGGTATCGCTGGGCCACGGGTCAATTGTTTCCCCGGTGTAAACAGGTCAGAAATAAATCCCAGCTTAACGCCGGGCTTAAAAGCTCTTAAAGCGGTACTCGTTCCCCCTCGCCTCAATTTATCCCCTCGTCCTGCTATCGTCGATTTTCCACCGTCTTCGCTCTCGCCCCACTTCACTTCCCACGTGCATCCACTGATTCTCTTGCACTCGATCGCCCTTTCCCGCGGTCTTTGGCTTTGTAGCGATCTCACATGCGACTTCATCAAGCACGTTTAATCGTAGCAAGTAT